TAGAATAAAACATGACCTTTTCTGATGGTCTATGTTAAAAAAAAAGAGGAAAACTTCATAACGCTAATACGTCTGAATATAAGTCTTAAAAATATTGACCAAAGACATACTATTTTCAAACAATTGTTTGGTATCAACATCATTAGGTCTAGCATTTTTTCTAAATTTCTGATGAGATAATGCTGTCTGAACAAATTTGAAACTCTTTCAAAAAGGATCAATACTGGTATTATTCAAATTTTCAGTATATATTTTGAACCAACGAGAAATTATATTGATATTTTTTTTTATTTATTGTGTGCTGTCAGAACTGGTGGTACCAGTGGTTTAGAAAAGAAATGCTGATTTAAAAAAGAATTGTTGATTTAAAAGAAAAACATTGTTGATTTAGAAAAGAATTGTTGATTTAAAAGAAAAACATTGTTGATTTAGAAAAGAATTTTTGATTTAAAAGAAAAACATTGTTGATCAGTTGTGCAAAAGAACACATTTTAAATAATACGAGAAGAAGGACGTGATTACACAGTTCACCCAGTGAGTAATATGGGGTTTCTTATTCTCGTGTTGGTTTTATTGCGAAATTTATTGAGAAAAACTGCACAGCTTCAGAGAAACTTGTAAAGTAACTACCATTGTCGTTTGTTGCGATATTCTGATATACCTATACTCATTTACAACAAAAAATGAATAAACTTAACATTCTCATATTACCAGACACAAAATATTATTTCGAAATAAGGTCGAAGGAGACGGAGGCAAATGCCTAACTCGTGAAACAACGTGTATTTTCTCAATTTTCAATCCACCCAGTCTCTTTGCCTAATTTTAATTTGGTTCGTGCTATGGCCTCAAAGTAAAGATACACATGATACCAGGTCGCAGCGCCCTGCACTCAAAAAATATTTAACGCATTATTATGTTGTCTGAGAAACCTTGAGCATGATCGGCGAGCTGTAAAATTTACACCAATCTTGACATTTCTGATTTTTTAAACCTAATCAACCCAATAAAATAGAACAACAAGAATTGAAGTATTATAGCTAATAAACAAGGAAAACAATTATTGATGCATATATTCCATTGTTTAGCAACAAGCTATCCATACTCTCAAATTTAAATAACATTCTAAATAACTCTCCAAATGAGGAGAAACCACAATTCCCTATAATTCTTACATAGAAGAAAATTCAATTGTTTGGAAAATTGAAAGCAAATTTGGTGTGTTTACGTTCTGCAGAATGTTCTTGTTGACGATACAGTGAGCTCAAGTTGCTCATACATTCAGATCATACCTGTACAATGAAAGAGTAACCTCTATTCGAAATATTACTGAAGTCAGCAAGATAAATATCCACAAACCCGTGACCACAGCGTGAGATTGCTTTAAATCAAATACATTTAATTGTTGGCAGCTTTTACTAAAACTTGTGACATTTGATTTCGAAAGAAGAAAATTGGTTTAATTAAAGAAAGGAAGAAAAAGGAAGAAATAACTTCAGTTTATTTTTGTCTGAACTATTCTTGCTTAATCATATCATTCACGCCACAAGTCATACGTGGACAAGAAACATACATTCCTGCTACTGGTATCAATCAAGTGATTGTTTCCCTGAGATTTTACATCTCAGGAAAGAATCAAAGCGATTCCTACAAGATACTGAAATTACCACAAGCTACCCGAATTTGAATCTGAAATGTGCCTCCACAGAAAATTAAGGCAGTGGTCTAGATCAAAGGACAATATGAAAGGGGTGGGGCAAAACCTAACATTTAATCATCTGGTAATGTAGAATATTTTGTAATGTATGTCACCGTCAGGCTAGAGAATGTCCACCACGCAACCAACCCCCCAAAACTCCATAACACAGTTCCAACAAATTAAAAATCAGATTATCCCTGAGGCATGAAACATTCTAATGTTGCAACTTGTTAATTCGTATATCATGGTTACTACTCACTACATATTTATAGTCATGTTTATAGCCTTTCGTGCCATTTCTGTCAGATTAAGTTGAAAAGGATTTATCGACGAATAAAAACTCTATAATCAGTGTCAAATGTGGTACATTTGAGTTAAAATGGTTTTATGTATTAATGGAATTGAAGTTTAATGTCGACATTAACCTGAAAGGAATCCATGGTTTTATAATAGGTGATATACACATAAAGGACAAGGACCTATATAGTGATACAAAAAGTACATAATATAGTGATATTGAAGAACAAGGTCAAATATAGTGATATAAAAAGACCGGATCAAATGTTATTTCGGCTCAACGTATAGTGATTTTAAGGAACAATATACGTGTACATATTAAGAGTTTAAGAGAACGAGAGAAAAGGACCAGATAGTAGTTTATCATGTTTCTCTACCTACACAGCTAAAAATGAACATCACCTATCAATTCTTGAGAATTATATTCGGCTTACGATTCTATAAAAGCGCATTGGAAGTTTTAAGCTTTTTCAGCCGTTCAATTTCTAGATAACGCAATCAATTTAAATGCCCCAGTATCGTGCAATAGAGCTATATCTCTTGTGATTGAATGCATCGATACATCAATATCAAAATATTAATAGAATCCTCCCTTCAAATCTGAAGTTGTTGACGTTCGAGAAGCAACCGGAAATAATTGAAATATCCAAAATGATAAAGAGATTTACTCTGCCATTCAAAATCATCATTGAAACCATTTTTAAGTATTGATTAATACGAATGGAAATCGTCTTCTAGGTATTTTCAAATCAGAACTTTGTCTCACCACGGGTGATCTACAGTCTACTATTGCTTGCTGGAAGATTTTTGCCCTAGGTTAATTAAAAGTTTTCATATAATTAAAAGAAAATACGAAGCAAGGGGAACCATTACTTTTCCAGATTACACCAACTTCATTTGAAAAACACGCAGTATGTTACAATGAATGTGCATTTCGTTGTTACTGTTCATCGTGCCATGTTTCGTGGGTAGGAAATAGAGCCTATAAATTGCATTGCTTCAATCTTGATTTGTGATCATGATAAATTTTAATGAAAGCTGATCCACTATTTAGCGGAATTTTCCTGAAACCTATTTCTAAACTCTCATTTCGACCTAGACCTGTTCATTTGATAGAATCAAACCCTTCCTTCCCCGGAATAAAATTGCAGTATACGCCCATATACTGTTATTATAGCAATTATAGAAGAGGTATATCTTCGTTATTGTCGGCATCTAAGACACTCTGACCTATACGATTCCAACAAATTGAAAACGGAATAATACTTTTTGCCCTTTCAAATATCAAATGTCAGACTTTGATCTTGGTTATCTACTTATAAGAAGCGATGTAAAAGACATATCCTAAAGATATCTTATATTTAATCCGACATTTCATAAAGGTTAATTAAAGGAATATTGCAGTCTGATATATTTGTTGAATCTAGAACTTGGGTTTCATTGCTGGACGGATACAAACTATCCAACTCAGAGACTTTGCTTTGGATGATGAACGCAGGTTGGCCTTCCTGCTTGAGGTTTAGGATTGCCAAATGATGGAGACACTGCAGAACTTAGAATGAAACTTTAGGAAAGGGTTTATCCTACTTCTGAGTTGGTAAGGCCTTTGTTGAAAATATATCTCGGTTATAAACGAATACAGTTACCTCAGGATTGTCTATATCTCCGGATACATAACTTATGGTACTATTGCATTTGTGGAGTATTCACGAATAACACGAGGTGTACACGAGAGATCTCTTGGAGAATCTAAAATTTTAGTGTATCAAAAATGTTATTAAATGTGAATAATTTTCGATAGGTTATTATCTCTCATTCCTACATGTATCCTGTCAGTTTCTGTTTCAGACATTTTATTATTTTAGCATTGTAGTATCAACTGAAGGTACTGCAGTGTCACCTTCTAGCATGGTCTGCCGCTGTAAATCGGTGAAATTTTTCTGATAATCAATATAATCACTTTTCTACAATAATTTCTACCTTTGTACAAAGCTTCCACAAACATGATTTTAACAATCCTTCAATAATCTAGCTTTGTACAGTAAGTACAAGTAAATAATTACTTCGTTATGATATCGCACTCCTTTAATGATGGGAATATAAATTACTATTTCATTGTTATATAGTGTTATATCTGACAAGTCAAACCTGACAACAAATCACTCGGATGTCAAATTAGTCCAACTTGATGATGAACAGATATGAAATTATTGATGGTTTTGTGTAAGAATTCTATTAATTGCATTCTAGTTATAAAATAGAATGGTGTTAGGTGATATAGTCTTGTGTCGACTTCAACTACGATCAAAGATCAAAACATTGGGGTAGACACCTGCATTGCATGAGTGGGGTGTATCTGCCGTTTAGTCGTCTGGACAAGAAACCGCTTCCTCGTGTTTTACATACTGGGCACGGTGAAGATTACTACAAATAGAGTAGGCTTCCATTTAATTCAAATTTAGTATTTCAGTTTCCTATGAAACGATAAGATCACTTTTGAAAGAGTTGGTCTTCAGACAAGATCATTGGATCACGCGAACATCTTTTTGTAGGCCAGTCGTGGTGATCCTTTTCGAGCGATTGGACATTCAGTGTCCTGGTTTCAAAGGTTCCTTCCACGAAGTACCACAGGCTTTCTGTAATAATGGCAATCTAAATTGTGGTTGGTTCGCAATCAGAATGATATCAATGCGATAATCGACTAGTATTGTCATTTAATCTCAGATTATCCTCTTAGTGTTATTAGAAGTAACAATGGTCATTCAGTTAATCAATTCGTATGGTCAGCTTTTGTTATACGTCTATGTGCGTATTGTCAAGGGGTTTTCCATTTACGGGATTCAATAGAGAATTACCAGATTGTGACTTTACAATTTTCAAGTCAAATGGTATTTGTGATGGTGGCAATCATAATCAGGAACCCGATTAGATCCTTGTCTTACTCGCCTGTTCTTTAAAAGAATATTTTTTTTTATGTTATAATACCATATTTGTCTATTGAAACATGTCCATCCGAGGTATTATGTATTTTTTTTCATTCATTCGTTATATTGCCTCCATGGACTGAATGTTAGACAGGACCATGTCCTTGTGCCTAATTCTGACCCATGTAAAATAAAGAGTCTATGTTTGTTCCCATGGACTGAATGTTAGACAGGACCATGTCCTTGTGTATTGGGCCCAATTCTGACCCATGTAAAATAAAGAGTCTATGTTTGTTCCCATGGACTGAATGTTAGACAGGACCATGTCCTTGTGTATTGGGCCCAATTCTGACCCATGTAAAATAAAGAGTCTATGTTTGCCTCCATGGACTGAATGTTAGACAGGACCATGTCCTTGTGTATTGGGCCTAATTCTGACCCATGTAAAACAAATAGTTTATTATTAAACAGCAAAAACGGCATGGATCTGCCATTGAAAAGGGTTAATGAGTTAATACATGTCATTATGGAGGCAAAATGAATGGCCCATTCAGTTCGACCAGACATTTAAGATTATGAATCGATTGCCATTAATAAAATGAGTCCAACTAAATGACTATAATCAGATACATGCAATTATGATCTAAAATACATCGAAGTTGTATACTATGGTAATATTAGACATAAGTTACTAATAGAAAACTAGATTATAGAAAAACTAATTAAATCGACCGACTGCAGTTGCTTTCACCATTAATGACATTATGTGTCTTCATTAGATAGACTGAAAACTGGTTTATTGACACTCACAGTTTGACGTTGACGTTGTTACATTGTGGTTAATTTAAGTGGGAAATCTTCAACTTTTCATAAAACTATCATTGCGAGCGTGTCCACGTCTATAACTTCTTGTGTTCTACGCCATACGTTTGACAAGCAATTTAAATGACAGTGAAAGTGGATGTCTAGTTTTCAATGCAGTTTTATTTACATATTATGATTAAGTGATATTCTTAGTGAATGTTGGTTTCTCTGCGGTGAGTATGAATGTGATTTTTAAACGATGTGCACTGAAGTACGTTTTCTTATATTACTTTTAGTAATTAGAAAGATTTATTGTGGTCCCCCCTTATTCCAACTTTATAACTTCTAAAACATATACCAAAGAATCATTGTCAGCTACGTGGATTATCCGAAAGGGTTGGTAAATCCAATCAGGTCTTCCTGCTTCGATATCATAGTTCATAAGAGAGGGATCCTGGGTCGGTGAAAGGGATCAAACCATATAACAGGACCAACTCCGATGTCGTCAGGGTAAGACGCAAGTGTTGAACTGAATTAGACACCGGGGACTCAGTGCAGTACCATCCATTGATTTTATTTCCATATTTTAAATGAATCTTTTAACAGTTTTAGCCTCGCTTGTCGGTGATAGTCATTCTGTACACCCATTCATATATTGGATAACCCTAGAATGATACCCAGCCAGACTGACTTGATTACTCGTCATTTTGTACTGAGGATTTGCCTCGTAGATTTTGTGTTCTTAACTGTACGTCGCGAAGTTGGTTATAATGTTACTTTGTAATTAACTGTGGGTTGCCTTGTTGATTTTGAAATTATTTTGTAATTAACTGTGGGTTGCCTTGTTGATTTTGAAATTATTTTGTAATTAACTGTGGGTTGCCTTGTTGATTTTGAAATTATTTTGTAATTAACTGTGGGTTGCTTCATTGATTTCATCGTATTTTAACTGTACGTTGCCTCGTTAATTTTGTCGATATATTTTGTACTTAACTGTGGGTTGCGATCTGGATAGGCAAAGGTCGGTTATTTCCTTGGGATGTAATAAACCCGGGGCTAAGTATAGTCTTTGACGTAACTGGAAATTGTCCTGGAGTAAAATGTGTTAAATGACCACATATTGTATTTCTTGTTGCTGCAGGGTATTGGGCGCCAATTTGAAGCGTTAATGCGATTAGATTTTGCGGTTAAATTGACCGGAATCTAGGTTAGCTTAGGTTTACATATTTGTAATGTCGTCGTTCTGTCACGATTGATTGTGTACTTCAATAGCTAAGATTGTTTAGAATTATTGATCTAGATTTAATCTATGATCCGTACTGGAATATAATAAAAGACAATGTTTTATTAGTATTAAAGATTGGCTATGGTGATATGAAGGACAAACATTAAATTCTTTTCTTATCTTCTTGTATGGTTTTATTATATTTTTTTCCAGATGTATTACCACCAAAGAATCTAACAGTGGTAGCCATAGGAACTACACGTGCTAGACTTATTTGGATTTACATTGGTTCTAAAAGTAAAGTGCGTCGATTTGAAGTAACTTATGAATGGTTATTGGCCCCGACGGGTAAATATAGTGTCACCTACGGTATTGATGTATATAGTAGACAGGTAACCCTCAAAGGGTTAATACCATTCCAATCCTACCAAGTCTTCATGGTGTCTATAGATCGTGAAGGTACTACTACCAATACCAGTAACCTCGTCGAGTTCACCACCAGAGGAGGTAAGCTCTACGCTTAGTTTCTTACTTTAAATATTTACTGTCATCTTTCCATTTTCCGCAAATCGATTTTTACAATAATTGTTAAGGGTTCAAACAGTATCTTATTTCCAACATATTATAGTCAGTGAAAAGCAATAATGATTACCTCTGGATCTTTAACCGTGAAAACAAAATTCACAATGATCATTGCCTTGATGGATTGTTTCGCTATTGAGCATCGTTTTGTTATCACCAACTACAGGCAATTTTCATGTGAAAAAAAAACAATTGTTTGGAAACTGAAAACACGGCTGCAATTCTAGAAATAGTCTAAGAGAGAAAACAAACACTCTCCTGTTACAAGGTTTACGTCTGAGGCTCCTGGCGACCACTTTGTCCCTGATTATCCGCACATATTTACAAGTCGCAAATAACCTACGGCCAACATTTGTTAAACATGAATAAACAAATGACGTCTTGTAACGATTCCAACGCTCTGATCTAATGCGCTACAGTCCGTCGTCGAAGAATATATCCTATTAAGATTGACAGACCAACTATGTCACAGAAAAAAATATATTTCCAAATGTCTATTGCCAATATAAAAAAATGTAATAGCGGAAAGACAAATTATGATAATGGCTTTATTGAATCTGTTGAATGATGATAGCATAGGGAGCAGCTCAAGGGTGTCTTCCTCGATATTTTAATGGGTAATATGAAATAGCTTTTTCGATTTTGTGTCATATTCGACCATCCATTATGTTATAACAATGAAATTGTCTCCGTGCTGATGGGTTTGAATGATTTGTGCCTTAAAGAATTTACCATTCTCTTAACAAATAAGACAGTCAGGATTTTAAAAGAATGCTAAATCTAATTCTCTGGGTTGTGAAATACTATTTTTAAAACAACATTTTTTCAGGGGCTTTTGAGTTAAGGATGCTCTTTTATTATGATTATATTATGTCATGGTAATAAATGGTTAGAATATTGGGTTTCGGTAAACGTATATCAATATTCTTCATGTAGTGATTTCTCCAAGGATACGAAAACCAAATCAAGCCCTCTTATTCAAGTTTGAAGTATGATTTCATTGATTTCCATAGAATTTCTGTATTATTAAATACCTACTTATTTCCTATATTAAATTTCGTTCGGCGTGCTTGGTTTTGCGGTCAGTTAGGTTATTACATTAAATATTTATGGTCTTCGAAGCTTTATCATTTATGCCTTTGGTAAAATACAGTATTTATAAAAAATATAAAGCTTTTAACAATAATAATACATCGATATTTCGAATTATACAATCATGAAATCCGATAAACAATTTGATAAAATAAGTAAATGATGTATCATAACAGTAATGAATTGTAAAATGATACGATAACCAAGTCGGATATACGAAAAATAAGTCCATTAAAAAAACCAGCGAATTATAAGTCCAATTAGTCACATTGTAAAAGTCCGATAACCAAATTCAGTTACCATGTATTGAAATTTACGAAAATGAAATCCGATAAATAAGTCCATTGAATAATATAGATCCATGATAAAGTCCAAAGAGAAAATCAATTGAATAATGAAGATACATAATTACGATTGGATATGGAAAAGTGTCACCTCACTGAATCAAATCAATTACCAAATGTTCATTAGCACCATGTTCATATTATCTCGACATCAGTTATTCATTGTGTTTAATGAAGTGTATACACTAATGATGTTTTTCCATATGTAGAGGTAAGGTAAAATAATGATGATTTTAATGATGATGTCAAATAGAATGATTGATATTCATAATGATCAATTTAATGATAAAGTTCTTAGATTCTAGATTTTAAAAGATTTATTATAACCTTGGCTTGCAATCTCAATAAGAGAATTGCGGCATTGCAAAAATTTCCAGAAATCAATACAATATTGTGTGTTATAAGAATATATAAGATAGTGGACCACAGCCATATATGCCCACCACGGCATGCGGATGGTAAAAACGAAACATCCATTTTAAGTTTCATCAAAATCGATTGAAAACTAAGAGAGTAATAGCATATTCAAGATTTTGGGGCAAGGGCAATAACTCTGCTTCGAACGGTCGAACATAGCTCAAATTCGAACTTGATCTTTGTTTGATGAATATGTATACACTTACCGAATTTCATTTGATTCCATCAAAAAATCTAGTTTTTAGAGCGTTTACAAGAAAATGTTGACGGACGGACGACATAATAGGCAAGTGTACATGTCCACAAAGTTTTATGCATTGAAGTCAGTTTGTTCATTATGCAGGGTAAAATTATGTTATGATAAATAGTTGTTAAATACAGATTTTAAATTTCCAGTTTTATTGTATCGTGTCGAATCTTGGCTTGCAATCGCAATGAAATGTTTTTAGTTTTGAACTGACTGCCCGATTATAATTCATATAAGTGGCATATTAAGCCCACATGACTTTATTGTGGACTAAGTCTATATTATATGACATTATTCAACTACAAATTATATGCATTATGTCGTAATATCACTACCATGTTGATAGCGCAATTATCCTATTAATACCGACTGTGTTTAAAGTGTCATTCAGCATTAGATCGAAGTTTGACGTTCTTATTATGCATCACGTGTAATGCTATTGCAGAAGATAGCTTCCGCGATAGGAGACAAATGCGGCAATGAAGAAATCGGATTAAAATTTGGCTTTTTATGAAATCAAATTGTGAATTTTTTTTTTTAATTTGGTTGGTACCGTTATCAACTCTAGCATCTGTTGAGCTAAGAAAATACTTATGTTATGACAATAACTAAAAAATCTTCAGCAACGCATCTCTATAATATTTGCTCAAAAATCGAGTTAATTGAATTAAGAGTACTTAGTTTCATTTTAATCGGATGAACACTTTGGAATTTATCACGAAAAAAAATGCTGCGTTTTCGTGTGGTTGGTTGTATAAATATAATTCGATTGATTTTGACAAGTGGTTTATTTTGTTAACTATAGTCCCATATCACGAAGGAACATGATGTTTAAGGAAATTGCTCTTTACGCCTTGACGAACATTGGAAATACATTGACTGTTATTGTCAATTTGCTATTCAGAGGAACTAGAATTTTTTCAACGATATTCACTGTCGATATTATATTTCATTAATTACAAATCGCTTGAATTGAAATGGAGTTTTTTTCTCCTCATAAATGGTTATGCTTCGAGGAGGAACCTTGATTACAAGAAGTATGGTATACGTTACTACATTAGTAAGAATAAATGGTTTTCTTGGATCCGAATATCGGTCGGCGTATGGATGGCTAAATACCTCATCTTCTAAACTGTAAATGATTATGGGATATTCGGCAAATGTGTTGGCTCATGAAAAGTTGCATAGTCCGGAATTTCTACAAAACTTTGCAGTCCAGCATTCTTGTATTTTAGAAATGATTTTTAGAATTTATTCCAATAACGCAAACAATGACGGAATAAAGGTATAAGGTATAAAGGTATAAAGGAATAAATAACATAACATCGTGTATGATTTATTAGTTTTGGTATGAAATACGAGATATACCATGAATCTTATTACTTATAAGCAATCTAAAGCTTGTATCTTAATTGGATAAAACTTGTATAAGCAGATATTTTTTAATCTTCTTGTTCTGTATCTGACTAAATTTCAGCGACTTCGACTTAAATTGTAAGCACTGATGGGGTATTCTATTATCGTGTTGATACTGCTAATGCTATCTGCAATCCACAACTTTCAATGCACACTCGACCATTTAAAAATTTAACAAGGGAGAGCATTAATGTTATGTTATATGTAAGTATTCTGGAAAAGTATTAATTAGATGTCCAATTAACCTAACTTTCAACTTCATAATGAGTCACTAATACGGGTCATTATCACTTTATACTGGTACATATCTTATCGTAAGTGTGCTATTAGCAGTGAACGTTAAGATAGGTCGACAGTATAAATACGATAAAGACAAGGCTGATGCAACTGTCATGACGCAGTCCCATGTCGTCTTCAGGCAAGCATATCAGCTTCAAAATCCGTACATTTTTTTTTTAGTTCTCTGAGTACTGGTAGAGAAGGATTGGTTGATTTCCTACAGGACTGCAGTGAAGATCTATCTCTGATGGCTTCAACGTGCTGGGTGCTCTTCTTCTGTCAATTGTCTTTGCCAATGCCCCGCACATTGCATTTCTTTCTTCAGTAAATCAAACAGGCATTCTTATAATAAAATGTGCAAATTTTATTTTTTGGTTCTTTTCGATAGATTTGGCGTGACCTAATATGGAGTCTTAAATCTTCATATATAGACCAAAGCTTGATTCAAGCTAACTGCATCATTTTGCAAAACAAATGTAGACGTCTAGTTAGACCATAATGATCATACAGATCTGATATAGAACGAGATATATTTGAAAGCTGCAGACTGGAACAGTTTTTTACTGTGCATCGTAGACCAATATTGTTATATACATTAGAGTGTAGTATCAATTCCCATATCAATTAACTAATATCATAGTTTTGTTCAAATAAATCAATTATAGAATTCTACATTAACTTATCAAATTATTGTTATATTGCTTGTAGATATTGGCTATCTATTATGTTCATCTTTATAGCTCTTAACGTATCGGGTCCTATTTTAATATCTTGTAGAATAGCCGTCTCTGTAATCCATAGCTTTCTTAGGGATCAAACATGTACAAGAAAATCAGGTATTCTATTATCTTGTTGATCATGAAGATTTCTCCGTAATCCAAAGTTTTCATCTAAAACGTGTGTGTTGTAAATGTAAGCAGATCAGGCTTTCTGTTATTTTGTTGATCATGACGGAAGTTCATGTAATGTAATTGATTAAACATGTACAAGCTTTCTGTTGATCTCGTTGAAGTTCTCAGAATGCACAATTTTCAGTTTTCGTTCCAGTGACTAAAATTTGTACACCGCATCGTATTCTCTTGTCGCGTTGATGTCAAAATCCTCAACGGTAGTTATTTGTAATCCAAATATTCTATTCTTACATTTGCGATTGAATACACTAGCATTATTTTATCTTCTTAATCATGCAACTTTTTATGTTCTTTTCTACTGCCTAAAATTTCTTATCTTGTTGATTGTGTCACTATTAGATATACAAACAGATGAGGAATTCTGTCATCTTGTTAATAATGATAATACAAATGTTCTCTGCAATCCTCAATTTACTCTCTTCCATTCTAATAACATAACACACAGAAAATGTCTACAGTCTTTTATATGATGATCAGGTCCTCCGAATTCCACAGATCATAACAACTCATGAAGTTGATCATCCGTCAATTCTTCTTTGAAGCAATTATGACAGCTGAACCAGCAAAGGTTGACCCAAAGAGACCATCTTATTACACTACCTAATCAAGGTCTGTAGAGTCCGCATTATTTGCTCATGCGTCTAAAGACCATTATTGAAAAGTTAACATCCACTTCAAAGCGTGATGAGGATAGTTTATCAGAGACACGTGTCTGCAGCATGAGATGTGTTCCAGTCAATTAAGACAATCCGCCTTCAGTCGCTCTGTATACATATTTTTATATATTCAATGAATCGTTAAGAGATTGCATTCCTTTGAGGTGGAAATTTATGTGAAGGCCATAATAAATGGATTTTCATCAACAAAAAATCTAGTTTTATGGGTTTTACTGTAAGATTAAATCTGTTAGTTTGGAACATGGAAAACAAATTACGCTAGAAAGGATTAATTGGATTTATCTGTATGGATTGTGTATAATCAGGTTGATGCTAGAATGGAATTATACAAGACTTACAGCTATATTCAAAGGAGGCTAAATCAATTTCAGTTAATATGGTGGATAGCCTGCAACTGCACAAGTAAGCCCCAGGGATGAATAACATATGGAGATTGAATAACAAACGTAAAATACGTATTATACCAAATGGAATTATTATTCAGTATCACAAACTTCAAATCTGACAAACTACAGCACAAGGTGATTAAAGTTTGCCAACCTACTTTCCTGCTCATTTGCTAAGACGTTGGGTAAACGTTATTTTCCTTTTCCTTAATCTGTTTGTTATCCTTGCATAGCAACTAGATCACACACCTTATGCCACAACGGGCTTTCATGATTGCTTTAGTTTATAATATGTAATACCGTAAACTATCATCAGCCAACAGGTGCGTAAAAGTATAAAGTAAATGCTAAAGAACCACCGCATGCTGGACATGGAACAGTCCAGGGCCATGGTACTACAGTTGGATAAAGTAAAATAGGCTAGATGAATTAATTCCATGCTATTTTTCTGTTGATCTTAATCTTGTTTTTCTTAATCTGCATAGCACCAAATATCTTATTTTGCTCCATTCGTACACCAGACACCTTATGCCGGAACCGGCCTTGATGATTGTCCGGAGTAGTAGCAGCGCGAAGTTCTTCCGAATTTATTTTTAAATCAAAATATTTTGAGTAAAGCGAAATGTCACTATATCAAAATATTGGTCCAATGGAATTAAGAAAATACCAGAATCCAGTACAGTGTAATCAGACCTGTATCCGAAACCTATTATAGAATTTTGATGTCATGGCACATCAGTCATCGACCCCTTTGACAGAGCAAGGCTAGAGATGGCCTCGGCTACCCTTTGAGTAAATGTGTTCCTTAACATGAATTTCTACTGCTGATCTGGATTGAATGAAAATGCCAACTAATTTTATGGTTTTTGTCAACTAGT